TTATCCTCATTAACATTGTTCCATGACTTGTATGCTTTATTATCCTCATTAACATTATAGGCATTAGTGATATCAGTTTTTTCTTTTGAGAAACTATAATTAATTAAATTATTGGTTAGTTATTAATAATGGGTATTTTAATTTATTATTATTTTTATTATTTTTATTATTAATATTATTAATATTAATTTACTCGAATATGGGTGAAAGTAAGCTTTTTTTTTTTTGTTTTTAAGAAATAGGAATTAAAATCTGATCAATCTAAATGCTGAGAATTCGAGTGATTAAAACCTCCATCAATATATAAAAATTTAATTTTTTTCGTAAAAAAATTATATTTTTTTTTGTAAAATTATACCCCAACATTTTTTTTTTTGCGCTGTTTATATTATTGATTATTTATGTACTTTATATTTTACTATTAAGATAGATTGATATTATTGTTATCATTATATCATTATTATTTTATTATGAGTTATAAATTAAAGGAGATACTTACTAAGTATAATAGGGATCATAAATACTTTGGTTAGACTTTGATTGCATTTGATGTTGTATTTGTTGGTGTTGTATTTGTTGGTGTTGTATTTGTTGGTGTTGGTGTTGTGGTGGTGGTGGTGGTGATTGTGGTGGTTGATCGTTTTCAAATGGATTGTCCATATATGATTGGTAACCATCTGCATAATGTGCAGGTGGTAGTTGCTGACCATTTAGTGGTGATTTTGGTGGTGGAGGGGCTATATTCTTACCCCACTGTATTTTTAAACGTGAATTTCCTACTGCATAGTTATTAAGTCCAAATGCTGCCTCTGCTGACTCCCTTGTTACATAATTTACAAATGCACTAAATTTATTATTTAACATCTTTATAAAAGAAATTTCACCATATGCACCAAATATACTAGATAATTTACAAATTGTTAATAATAGAAATTTCTATTGTTGCTTATATACTATAATAATATGAAAGTACTTACGTTTGTAATACACCTTCGTCGATATATGGATCCAATTGTGAAACATAAATTGCAGTATTGGTTGGGTCAGTTGAGGATAGATCGGGTATTGTTGAGAGTTGACTATTTAATCTTTTATGTGTCGGACTGTTAACTTTAATTGGTTTATTATTTATATAAAAACCTTGCATCTCTATTAATGCTCTATCTCTTTCGTTTTCGTTTAAAAATTTAATAAAACCATAACCTTTTGGGAGTCCTGTTTGCGGATCCATTATTATTTTTGCTCCTCTTGCAGTTGGAAATTTATTTTGAAAGACACTTAATAATTGTGGCTCTGTAACATCAGGGGCTAAATCTCCAATATATATTGATAAATCGCTATAATTTAATATTGTTCATTATATTTAATTATGAATTATGAATTTTTAATAAATAATGTTTCGTTAGTAAATAATGTTTTATATTTTTATTAATTATTTATTATTTGAAAAAAATTGCTAAAACTGTTGTATTTTTTATAATATTTCTTTAATATTTTGTTTTTTATTTTGTTTTGTTTTGTTTTATTTATCAAATGTTTATCAATGAATTGTTTTTTCTTACTTTTCGGGTATTTGTTGTTGGCTGTATGGTTGTTGTAGTTGTTGTTGACCGTATGGTTGTCTTTGCTGATAAGCGCCTCCATATGGTTGGTGATATTGTGGTGGCCCATTATTATAATAATTATTATATCCACTACCACCATATTGTTGTTGTTGTTGTGGTGGTTGATATTGTTGATACTGTTGATAATTATTATACATTATAGTTTTTTTTTTTTTCTGTCTCTTGTTTTTTTTATATACAATAATGAATAGAAACCAAACTAAAATAAAACTATATCTATAAATTTAAATATGTGTATAAATTTAAATTTAAATTTAATAAATTCGATGATTTGGAAAAAAAATGAAAAAAATAAAAAAATAATTTAAAAAAAAAAAAAAAAAAAAATTTTAAATATTTTATTTTATTTTTTTTAAATTTTTAATTTAATTTTAAAATATTTAAAAATAACCTTTACAATGAAAAAAAATATTTTTCTTCTTTATTTTCATATATTTTTTTATTAACTGCTCTCTTTACAATTATATAAATAAAAAAAATGTTGATAATCATTTATACACCAGATATAATATAGGTACTATTTGTCCCCAATTAGATTAAAAACCCTCTTTCTCCAAATTACCTTGCCCATATAGATAAAAAAAAGAGGTTCCTGGAATAATTCTAACAGCAGTGTTTTAAAACATACTTGATAGACCCTATTGGAGCCACATTTTAAACTATGCCCTCCCCCAACTAAATTAAAATTAATTAAATGAATAATTAATATCATTAAAATAAAACTTTACCCAATAATAAAAAAATAAACTTACTATTTTTGGTATGATAATTGGTAAAAAAAAAATATTAACAATGTAAAAACACCTACATAAGTAGAAGATCCATACACAAAACCCCTCTGTATTATTTATAAAATTTTGTAACTCTTCCATAAATTTATTTGTCTCATTAATTCAAAAAAAAACTATTTTAAAAAAAAAAAAAAAAATATAAATATGGACTACTAATGCCAAATTTATATAAAAAATCCTTACAAATGTTTTAAAAAAACTGGGAAATTTTTGTTAAAAAAAAATCACATATATATAAAATAATAATAGTAAATATCATTCTAAAAAAAAAAAGATAAAATAAAATATTATAAAAAATAATCAATTCTTTCTTTATTTTGACAAATTAAAAATTCAACCACTGAAATTGTATTAACATAAATATTGGAACTTCTATAGTAGTGGAATTCATTAAATATATTTTAATTTTATTATTGCAGTAATAAATTTTTTATAATTGCTTTAATTTTCTTTTAATAATTTTGATGTTTCACATTTGGGAATTTACTTTCCCCTTTTGAAATAAAAACCCCACTGTTTAATCTTTTAAAAAAAAATTTAATGAAACTTGTGTGAGAAACCCCCTTTTAATAATAATTTCAAATTAATTTTAATTTTTTTAAAATTTTTTTTTTTTAATTTAAAGTTTTATGATTTTTTTTTAATTTTCATTCACCAAAGCAATTTTTTTTTTTTTGCTTTACAAATAATTTTTTACATTTATTCATTTATTATAATAATCCTTACAACAATAAATTTTAATAACTTTTTGTTTTTAATAATCAACAAATAATCACCTTTCACTATTTAATAATAATTTATAATGGATTTATTATCTTTATATTATATGGTATTTGCTATCATTGGCTTTTCATTAGGCTTTTTTGTTGTTGGAAAAAAACTCCAACCAACAAAACCAAAAAAAACAAAAACAACAACAACAACAACAACAAAACCAACTCCGAAGTACTTGGTCTTTTTGTATTGAAGGATTTTATTAAAGTAATTCATACATTCACATTTATACTTAAATAAATAAAAAATACATATTAATTTATTTTATTAATAAATTAGCAGAAGAGAGCGGGTTATGGCTCAGACGCACTAACTGATACCATCCAGAATTTGGTGACTAAAATGATATCGGTTAATCATGATGTCGATGGCAATTAAATTAATAATTTACACACTTTATTCAATGTTTCATTTAATGAAATCGATAAAGAACAAATTATTAATTAAATCGTTCCATTCAATATTTCAACTAATGATATCAATTACAGTTATCTTCATCATCCCAAAGTATCAAAGGAGTTCAAAAATAACCACTGCCACATTCCTTTTTAAAAACCGCCATATGAAAATAACCAAGAATGCTTAATGGACCATCATATCACAATCCACCGAATATCATTCCTGCAGTATAAACACACTTTACAAACCTCACATCAACAATCGTACTCAATGCCACAATCTAGCAGTATAACAACACTATTTTACAACACACACCAAAACATACACAAATATTATATAACCATAGCAGTTAAAATCAATAAATATCAAATGTAAGTTAATTTTCTTTTAAATAATAGCTTAGAATTATAAACAATAATAAACATATAGAATGAAGATAGAAACAGAATTACTAACCAAAATATTTATATTAAATAATAGGATAATTAACAATTATAATAATAAAAATAGTATATTTAGTATAATTTCATAGTTCAGTTTAATATTTTATAGAATGATAATACAATTAGATTATATTATCCATTATATATCTCAGAACATCATTTATTCAGAATAAAATAAATAAAAGTTAGTGCAAAAAAAATTTAAATAAAAAAAAAAAACTTGGTTTATACACAAAAAACTTTAATAAATCAGATATATTATTAATTTCTTTTAATAGTTTATTTTGAGTTTTCACCAGTTTTTAGAATTTTTTAAAAAAAGACTCTTACTCTAAAAATTTCTTTATCTATTTTTTTTTAATTCATAATCATCTCTTAAAGATCACATCAAATAGCTTTAAAAAAATCAATGGGAAGATTATTTACCCACCTTTTTCTTTTTCAACCAGTTCCTTTTATTTTAGGATAAAATGATAATAAAGTGATTAAATAACTACAACAGATATATTAATCTCTAAAGAAAAACCAATATTATTTTGAGTATTAGTTTTAAAAATAAATAAAAAATTAAATTGTTTTTCTTCTCCAATTTAGAGAAAGAATAAAGCTTTATTGTATTTTATTTTATTCTATACTATATTATAAATTGATTTTTATAACCAGTCTAATCTTTTGAAGAATAAGGTTAAGATTGCACCAATTGAAATCATAAATACTATGAGTGTGATGAATGGAGCAAAATTTTTAATGTCACCATCTGAATCTTCTTCGTCTGGATTACCTGGTAAATGGAAATTCATACCATAGATTGAAGCTAAAAGGTTAAGAGGCATAAAAATAACTGATAGAGCAGAGAATTTTCTCATACTAATATTTAATGCATGTGACTCTTCATTCAAAACTAATGATACCTTAGAGATATATGCATTATTAATATTTTCTAATAACTCTTCGGCCAATTTAATTCTTTGCTTTAACCTAACAGTACGATCTTTGATATTGCTAAGATGAATTCTATGTTCTCTATTTCTATTATTTAATCTAATTAACGATGACAATATATCACTAAATATAATATAATAAAATCATTAATATGTATTCATCAAAACAATGTAATGAATAGTGATGATAATGGTTACCTTTTAATAAAAATCCATGATAATAAATTTGTTGATTTTCTAGTTGCTTTACCTAATCTAACATATAATTCTTGATGATGAGCTGCGTCTTCATTTAAAGTGAAATCATCTAAAACCTTGACTTCCTTCATTAACTGATCTGATAATTCACCATAAATTTCATTAAAGGCTTCAAAGAAGATAGATGATATCCATTCCGAAGATTGTATAATAGCATTATCTAAATAACGGAAAGAGTTTAAAATGGTTTCGGCAGAGTCTAATGGATGTTGATGGAATACTATAATAAAACCAGTAAATTGGCACATATAAATATTTGATTGAACCAATTCAGTGCTTGAATAAATGGTCTCTGAAGTTGAAATAAATATATAATTTGAAAACTCTTCGCATTTTTCTGATGAATCATTCGATATAATATCTTCACATGTTAGATGATGAACTGAAAATAATTTGCAAACCTCTGATATCTCTTCATCGGAAAATCCTTCTAAATCTATCCAATAAACTTTTTCTTTTGGTTTATTATTTAATGTTGAACCATGATCATCTATACCACCACTTCTAGGTGTACTAATATTAAATGTTGGTACGCTAAAACCTTGTTTGATATTACTATCTTTGATTACTGATGTTTCATTACTTGTACCACTTTCATTATTATTATCGTTATTATCTACCAATGATTGATGTACATTTTGGTTTTGATTGGTGCTTCTCCTATTTCTAACTGGCGAATCTGTACCTCTAAGATGATTACTAAACTCTAACAAACTACAACTGCTACCCAATATATCTGCGCTACTATTTAAATAAAATGTATTTGAGTTTCTTGAATGTTTTATTTGATTATTTGTTGACGAATTGGTTAAAGTACCACGTTTTGTTGTAGTGTTGGTGGTAGAAGTATTTGGACTAAGACTTGAATGATGTTGTAATGGTGATGCTACTGAAACTATTGGATTATTGTTATTATTATTATTATTATTATTATTATTATTAGAAGTATGGTGACTCATTGTTGGACTTGATAATGATACCTTAATCATCTGACTAAAATCCGAAACACTTGGAACACTTTTAATTGAGCCACTTCTTTCTTCGATTAGTTGTTTTGAGAATTTTATAAAATCCTCATAAGAATATTCTAAATCATAGTCACTTTCTTTGTTTATAATTCTAATTACTTTTTTATTCTTTTTTGGTGGCTTTATACCATATATATCTATATGCTGTTGATCATTATCTTTTTCTTTTCCCTCTTCACTTTGTAGAATTTTATTTTTGATTACACCTTCATCTTCGCTATTATTATTGTTGTTGTTGTTTTTGCTGTTGTCATTACTATTATACTTTGTATCACAACCATCATCTATCATCTCCTCTAATGGAATGCCTGTAGTTCCTCCTGAAATATTTTTTATGAAATTTTTTTCTTCGTCTCCACTACCACCACTACTGTCAATTGCTGATGGATTTGCTAAAATTCCATTATTATTAAATACTGACGTTGATAAAGGTGAACTTGCTTCATCATCCTCCACAATATTATACAATGGGTTATTATTATTATTACTATTACTATTATTAGTATTATTCGTACTGGTCATTTTTTTTTATGTTTTTTAAAGCTATTAATATTATTTTAAAAGTTTTTATTTTTATTATTATTCTGAATATAATGAGCAATTATTAAACAAACTTTATTTCTATATTATTTTATTTTTTTTAAAAACTAAATTATTTTCATTTGATAAAAAAAGAATATATAAAAAAAATAATAAATAAAATATTGATTATTATTTTTTTACTATTTAAACAATAACATAGAAATATATTTTAATTTATGCTATATTATACATTCAATAATGTAAAATGTATATATATGTAAAAAAATTTTAAAAAACTTTTGGGTGTGTTTATTTTTAAAAAAAAATAAAAAAATTTTCTTTTTTTTTTTTTTTTTTTTTTTTTTTTATAATTTTTTATAATTTTTTATTTAATTTTATTTATTTTATTTTATTTTATTTTAAATTTTAAAAAAATAAAAATAAAAAATCAAAAGTCAGACTTTTTTGTATTTATAAAAAAAAGTTATAATTTTTTTTTGTTTCTATTATTATTTTTATTATTTTTTTTTCCCCCTCAAAAAAAAAAAAACTTGGTTTGATTATTTTTTTTTGATTTTTTTTATTTATTTTTATTTTTTTGAGTGATGTACATTCCCATTCAAAAAAAATAAATAAAAATAAAAAAAATAAAATAAAAAAAAAAAAAAGATATTTTTAGAGTAGTTTTTTAATTATTTTTTTTAATTTTTTTTTTTTTTTTTAAATTTTTTTTAAATTTTTTTTTTTCGTTGATTTTTTTTTTTTTTTACTTTGCCACAATTCATATGATCCAAAAACATTCCTCACACTGTCATCATCAAGCCATATTTATAATACACTCCTCACACATTACACATAAACCATTAAATTATAACCTTGTTTTATTTTTATTATTTTTTTTTTAATCAATTTCTAAAAATAATTATTTTATCGATAGATTGAACAACATAAAAAAAAAAAAACAAAACAAAAAAAAACAAGTTACAAAACACAATTTATATTATTTATTTATTTTTATATATACCAATACATTATTAATATTCGAGTTTTTTTTTTTTTTAAAAATAGAATTTATTTTTTAAAAAAAATACACATCTCATCGTTTTTAATTTTAATTGTTACCATAAAATAACAAAATTTTTAAAATTTTTAATTAAAATAAATTATATTATTTTAAATATATTCAAATACCCATAATTATTTATTTTAAAAAAAAAAAATAAAAATTTATTAAAAAAAAAAAAAAAAAAAAAAAAAAAAAAAAAAAAAAAATTAATTAGTTAATGAACCAATTCCAGGTCCTCCCCTAATGTTAATGGAGGGTTAACCTCCCACCAGGTGGTTACCACCTATTCAAAAGTTTTTTTTTTTTTTTTTTTTTTTTTAAAATTAAAAAAATTTTCCAAAATTTTTTAATAAAAAAAATTAAATTTCTTGTTTTTAATTGTTGGGTTCCTTAAACATTTAAATTTATTTGTTTTTAAAAAAAGAAAAATATCAAAAAAAAAACAAAGACTTTTTTTGGTTGTTTAAATTTTAAAAGGGGGGGGGAA